TTGTTTAAAGATACAGAAATTTATAATTATTATGGTCTTTTCAAGGATTTTGGTTTATATATTTTATTCATATTAATGGTTTTCCTTCATTTCCTATTTTGACTGATACTGCTATATCAAGTTTTTTGGTTCATATATGCCAGTATATTTCTTAGTCTTATTAATTTTGAAATTTTCTGGTGTGTGTGTGTGTGTGTGTGTGTGTGTGTGTGTGCATGTACGTACAATTGTCTATCATAAGCAGCTCATAACTGATTTTTTATACCCAAGCCAATGATTTCAGATTTTTAATAAGGTCATTTAATCCATTTACATTATTGTTACTATAATGTATTTGGAGTTATGTGAATCATCTTGGTTCATGATTTTGTTTCATCAAAGACTTTTCCTGGCTTCTTTTTTTCCCCTCTAATTTTTGTTAGATTGGTAAACTAAGGGTTACTCTTTTCCTTATCAATTTTTATTTATATATATATATTACAATTTCTTTGTCATCTTTTTGAATATGCTGTTCCAACATTCCTCTATTATCCTTTGCTGGTATCCTATTAAACTATTAAATAAGGTACTCACGGACTCTCCAGATCTCAGTTCTTTCTTCCATTTTCTTAATTCTTTCCTTACTTTTGTTGATTCTATAGTAACCCTTTCAGTTTTGAGTGTTTTTAGATGCCTATATATTTTCTAGGATTAGTAACTATTTTTCTATTCATATAATTTTTTTTTTTAAATAGAGAACATTCTTTCCTTTGCCTCTCTGAGGACTTTAAACTCTTATTTTAAACTCATTTTAGGGTTGCTCCATTTTAACATTTTATCTGGAATTAATTCATCTCCTGAGCAGTTATTTTTGGGCCAGCTATCTTCACATCTCTCATTTTGTTATTTTCGTTTGTTGACTCTTCTCAAGTGGGAAATTTTTTAAAGCTCCCCCTCTCTGTGCTCTTACCCTTTCCATCTAATGTTTTTCAGCTGCTCCCATCTGCCCCACTGAAGCTACTGTTCTCAAGAAAGGTTTTTATATGAGTAGCTTAGAGTTTCATCCAGCACAAATGTTGGGATGTCATGGAGTCAGTCCCAGTGCTTCAAGGCTTAGTCTGCTTCTTGCCTCATAATTCGTTCCCTAGGTAGTATTTTGGTCTTTTTGGCCTCCTTTCACGTTTGTTGATAACATCTTAGGATATTCTGAGCTATATTTAGTAGACCAGAACTATGTGCCGGGTAGCCACAACTTCTGAATTACAGTTATTGCATCTATGTGATTGAACCCTATCTTTTTATGTTCTGTATTATGCTGAGTTGACACGCAGGGCTTGCTGAGCTTGGAGAGACTGCTCCTCCTAGGATTAGCCAATTCCTAGAGATAATATGCAACTCTCCCTTGAGCACAACTTTCAAATGCAAACCAACCAATCCAGAGCCCATAAGTCAGCCACCTCCTTTATCAGGCCCTTGTACTTCGGGTCACTATCCCCCTGTCCTAATATCCCAGGGCCAGATATCAGACAACTAGAGAGAGTGCCTATGCCCCAGAGTCTGCTAAAAGTATTCAAATTAGCCAATTCTAAACCATTTACACTATCTGGCGCATAATTTCCAAAGGAAACCACAGTAAAGACTTCTACCCCCATGTTCTCCCACTCCCTCTGCCTTCTGACCAATCCCCTTGCATGCTCGCCAGCCCCCTGTTTCTAGGGATCTATGAGTATAACAAACTTCCGTCTTCATGACAGCCATTTCTGAGCATGTGTGTCTTACTATACCTAATTAAGGCAAATCCCAGGTATCATTAAAACAGTGATATACTACTTGAATGACAGCAAAATAAAGTGATTTGTAGCACTGGAAAACATGTCTCTGTGCTAGCTTAGTTCTAGTCAATTTAACATCATAATTGTTACAAAGTTTTGAGTTTGGGGAATATGTGATTTTATAATATTATGAACGCAATAGTTTGAATCAGTATGAGATTGTTTAAAAATGTACTTGCATGAATGGTTTAAATATGAGGCCTATGGGAGAAAATAACCCAAGATACTTTTCAGATTTTTTTTTAAAAAAGAAATTGCCGCCTCACTACCTCCTGTATCAAGCAAAATTTCACTTTATATTTAATTTTAAATGCCCAATGTAGCAAGGACAGTTCTAAATGCTGGATGTACAGAGAAGATCAAACCCTTCAGGTGTTCTGCCCACAATAAGGCTTCTCAATCAATCTAAATTTATCTCAGCTACTTACAACCCAGGCTCTTCATTCTACACTGCTTAGTACCCAGGTTCTTCATTCTACACTGGTCAGTTTCCCAAAATCAATTTCAGTCATTTCTTCTCCAGCACTTCTGCTCATACTGTTGCCGCTCCCAAATGATTCCTCCTCATGTCCTCTTTTCCTGTTACCTTCCCTTTGAAATCCATCTCGATTTGTTCAGTCACATTGTTGCCCTTCTCTTTTGCATCTCTATAGTCTTCTGACTTTTTACACATAATATCTATGAAATTTGGTTTTTAAAGCATGCATTTTTAAAAAATTAAAAATTTCTGAAATTGAAGTACATCTCCCTCTCTACCTCCATGTACATAGGTTTGTATGTGTGTGTGTGTGTACACACATATGTATTCACACACACACAGGTTTTTTAGTGATTCTCTTTGCTCCAATATTTTAAAATAAATAACACACCTTATAGGTGTGTTATTCTTATAATCCATGCATTCTAGGAATTGAGGAAATAGAGAACCTTGACTTTTCGATGATCTTTGGATGGTTTTCCTGGAACTCCAGGAGCAGGGCTTCAGCGGTGGAAAATTAAGATAAACTAGTGGGGGCCTGCTCTGGTCATTCCTATAACCTCGAACAATCAGCTTAACTTTTGGGGTAATTTTTATTTTATTATTTTATTTCCAGATCTAAACAAAAGGTTTGGGAACCTGGGAATATTGACATAAATGCTTAATATTTTAGCTTTGTCTCTCTCATTAGATTACAGCTTCCGCACCCAAAGGGCCTGGCACAGTTATGACTAGATAATTGAGTCAGCTTGTTCCTGATTGGTTTGTGTGCAAACATGCAGACTACATCTACAGTGATCATTTCTCTTAATTTTTCAAACAACTATTTGCTACTCTCTAAATGTTAGTTCCTTTCTGTGTTCTATTTTCTTTAAAAAAATGATGTTTTGGGCCTCCCAGAATGAATGTGAATTACAGTTCTATTATGTCTTTATAGATAGCAAGTTTTAGGTTTCTTTCCAAAGTACACAAATGGATTTTAATGATATTTGTAAATGACTATAATTTAAGATCACAAGGTATTATCTTTGAGATAACATTAGAACTTGGCAGGAAAGAAAACTTTTATTTAGAAACTTGGCTTCTTGAACACAGAATTCTGCTGCTGTAAGATTTCACGTTAGACATTTAGTTGAAATGCAAAAAATAAATGTTGGAGAACTGGAAGTAGATGAGTTTGAAAGGACTATTCAATGAGTGAATTTACAATTTAAACTATTGTCTACTTCTCCACTTCATTTTGTTGGATTATAAAAATAAGTGAAGAAAACGTCTTTTCTTATAACAATCACAGCAGACCTGCATTAGGGTTCTCCAGAGAAACAGAATCAACAGAATATACATACACACACACATATATGTATACACACTATACATACATATATACACACACACACATATATATACACACATACATATATACACACACACACACATATATATATATAGTGGGGGAATGTGTGTGCATGTGTGTGTGTGTATATGTGTATATATATGTATATACACATAGATGGAGATACATGTATATATATCCATTATATATCTATCCATTATATCTATCCATTATATATCGATCCATTATATATCTATCGATTGTATATATCCATTATATATATATATAGAGAGAGAGAGAGAAAGAGAAAGGTTTATTGTAAGGAATAGGCTCACTAAATTGTAGGGGCTGAGAAGTACAAAATTTGTAAGGCAAGCTAGCAGGTTAGAAATTCAAGTAAGAGTTGATCATACAGAATGGAGTCCAAATTTCATAGATAGGTAAGAAACTCAGATAAGGTTTTATGTTCTAGTCTTTAGGCCAAATGTCTTCTTCTTTGGAAAACATGTCTTTGCTCTTCAGGCCTTCACCTGATTGGATGAGGCCCATTCACATTATGGAGGATAATATGCTTTACTTAATATCTACTAATTTAAAAGTTAATGTCACCTAAAAGTTATCTTCATGGCAACATTTAGACTGGTGTTTGCTAAAACAACTGGGCACTGTGGCCTAGTCAAGTTGACACATTAAATTTACCATCACAGTGTCTTATTGTTTGTTAGGCTCCTTTTTCTGACATCGTCTTCTCAATCAGCTCTGCTCAGTTTCAGCTTACTCCGTGAAATAAAATGCAACATGTTCTCAGACATTTGTTTAAGGGGTCTCCAATTTTCTACAGAACTGAAATCCCTGATTTGTATTTTGGAGAGCTCTCCAGATGAGAGCCATTTGGACCAAATCCTAGAATAAATTCTAGAGTAGCTTTGTTTGTCAAAGGTTTGGTGAATGAGGTAATGAACGACATAAGAGGATAGTATTAACACAGATTTGTAATTAAATTGATGTTATTATGGATGGAGTATCCCTTGTGTCATTATTGCTATAAGTAAATTTTCATGAACTTCTTGAGGCAGTCCATTGGTCAGATACATACATCAAGCCTAACAGAGTAATGAGTAAGGGTAGATCTGGATCTGTCCAAATTCCTACCTCTGGAATCTCAGTGGTCCTCTCGACGGATCTGTTTAAAGCAGAACTGAGGCTTTCAGCACTAAATTCAGGCTCTCAAAATGCCAATTGCCCATACAATTGTAAGTGGCCGCAAAAAGTGAGCAATAAAAAAATGAAGTTGGCGGGCTATCTCGGAAACTTGGAGCCGGGTTCCTCCCGGGTTCCTACCTACGGCTCCTGGGCTGTTGTTTAGACTCCTGTGAAGATGGCTTGCGCTGCCGCGCGGTCCCCGGCCAACCAGGACAGGTTTATTTGTATCTATCCTGCTTATTTAAATAATAAGAAGACCATCGCAGAGGGAAGGCGAATCCCCATAAGTAAGGCTGTTGAAAATCCTACAGCTACAGAGATTCAAGGTGTATGTTCAGCAGTTGGACTTAACGTATTTCTTGAGAAAAATAAAATGCACTCTAGAGAATGGAATCGTGATGTCTAATACAGAGGCAGAGTCCGGGTCCAGCTCAAACAGGAAGATGGCAGCCTCTGCCTTGTGCAGTTCCCATCACGTAAGTCAGTAATGTTGTATGCAGCAGAAACGATACCTAAACTAAAAACAAGGACACAAAAAGCAGGAGGTGCTGACCAAAGTCTTCAACAAGGAGAGGGAAGTAAAAAAGGGAAAGGAAAGAAAAAGAAGTAACCTAGTATCAGCATCAAGTATGTGGTACTACTGTAAGAGACATGAATGGAGACTTCTAATTTGTATCAGAGGGAAACAGAAGCTTTTTGTTTGCATCATTTAACTGAACTGCGAACGCTTGTGCCTCTCATGTTTATCATCGGAGTTGATAGTGAAACAAATTTACATCAGAAGTTTGCATCTCGCTTTTATGGTGTATAAAAGAATTTTTTTGTCTTTCAATGCAGTTTTTTTGGAAGAAAGAATATTTTTAAGTGGACAATGGACTGTAAAATAAGTTACTTGAAGTGAGTTACTTGTTTCAGATAAATTTCAATTCGATTTAAAATAAACATTTTGTCCACCTTTTAAGTTAATGAAATAAAATTTGAAACTGAAAAAAAAAAAAAAAATGAAGTTAACCATTGCAGCTCTTTATGAACCCTTGCATGCTGCTTGAGTTCTTTTAGAGCTATGATAATAAAAAGTTTTATTGTAATAAAACTTACACTGTAGAGTTTATTGCAATGTTTAAAAAGCAGCACATGTGCATTTACATTTGATTCTCCTTTCAAATAACATTATGGACAAAATATTGTTGTTTTACAGATATGAAACTGGGAGTTCAGAACTCAAATTTCACTTGCTAAAGAACAAATAGTAAACATTGGGGTCAGAACAAGAACTACATCATCTGGTCTGTTAAGCATTCATAATTGCTGTTCTGGAGAGCAGAAAACATTGTTTCTGAAGTAAATTAGTGGCCAGTGGCACTGAACTACTTGTTTTAGAGGTAAAAGTTCTGACAGAAAAAAAAGAAAAAAAAATGTGAAATCACTTTGAAAGGCTTTTATTGTAAGTTGCCAGAGAAAAAGTAAAATTTACATGAAACTACTGATTTTAAATGTAACATTAAAAAAAAACTGGAAGAAGAAAGAAATGGTTTTTTTTAGTTATGATAATAAAGGAAGTAATTTTCTTTTGTGCCTGGTAATTATACTGAAAACATAACTGCAACTCAAATTTAACTGCATCTTTGAAGAAGGTTTGGGGGATGAAAGACATTCATTTGTGGATTCTGAGGATCAGCTTGATCTTTCCTTCTTCACAGAGATCAAAAGGTTCATTGTTATTTGAGAAAAGCAGGATTCAATTATGGCTGAGATGAAAGACAGTGAGAGCTGAGTAGCTGCCTTGGCAATAGTTGTTAATTGAGTATCCAACTAGAGACTCTTCTAATTGATTCTTCAAAATCTTAATTCCAATAATTATGCCATTTAGACATCAGAGGAATGCTAACAAAGCAACAAAACTCAAAATCATTGCAAATGACTAGAGTGGCTAAGTAATAAAGAAATTAGAAGAACTATTTTCCTGGCCCTCCAAAATTAGTGTGTAATGCCTCAAATCGATTCATTTATCTTCCACAGGTCAAATAATAGGTCTTTGGCATCCCCGAACTTGTTTCTCTTTATCTAAATAACTCCATCCTTTGTCTCAGGTGCGAAAGCAAATTATTCCATCTCAGTTACCCATTCTGTCATCACCTACACCCTGACCTCTGAGCGCTGCCCATTAAGGGACTCTTTTCTGAATTCAGCAATCAGTTCCTGCTTCTATACAGCGTATAGAAAGTTCAGTGTAATTCAGTTTAAAAGGAGTGGCTTACTATTTCTTATATTGCAGATTTTTAGAAGTTTTGTCAAAAAAAATTTGCTCTAAGAAATTAATCTGTGTAGAAATAAAAATATGGGTAATTTTTAAATTATTAGTTATTTTTCCAAAAGAATGTTAGGGGCTCTAATTATGTGAAAAAATTTTCTCAACTCTCCTAAGTCAAACCCATCAAACATAATAAAATAAATTCTAGAGATTAAACACACACACACACACACACACACACACACACACACACACAGCCATGACAAAAGTAGGTGATAAACCTTCAGCTGTATTTAATTTGCATGATATGAACAATTAAATGTTTTCTAAGAGAAGATCAGACATTCTACAGAAAATAACTTCAGAAGGAAGATCTTAAATTTCTTAATCCAGAAGCTTAAAATTAGGGCCATGTATTTAGATATGATTTTAACTGCCATTGTTACACTCACTGTTTGTACCTGCCTGACATAAATAAGCAAGCATATTCTTAACACAGTCTCCATTTTTTCCCGTGTACTAAATATCAATCATATAGGGGCAAGAGTCAGGATGGAAATGAGTATTTCTTGAATACCAGTCACTTTCTTTCATATCAACTGGTTTTATTTACTTCAGAGCATTTTATCACACCCGAAGTGACTTTGCTTGTTTATTGAGATGTTCGTAGTTGATTTTCCCTCAAAATAAGCTAAAAGCAGAACTCTTGTTGGTCATGTGCTCCTCTGTACCCTGAGTACCAAGGAGAGTGACTGGCATATAGTAGGTCTTCATGTTTTTTAATAAATTCCAGGCACAGGAATAGACACGGTGTGATTATTATCTCATAAATTCTCAAAGTGATCTTGAAATGTAAATATTATCATCCCTCTTTGATGATGAAGAATCAAGACTTAAAGGAATTCAGGTATCTTGCCAAAGATCAAACAGTTAAGAAGAGGCGATATAAACTCAGGTCTGATGTGTATTCTGTTTGGGCGTCATGGGATAAGGCATGCTTCCCAATGTGGGTCATGGCTGTAAGCAATGATTAGAGATAGTAAGCAAAATGATACTAAGCAGCGCACGTTAGATCATTTAAAAAGTTACATCCTTTAAAACTTTCTTCCAAGTAATCTAATTATGTGAAGGATAAAGTCCCATATTAGTACCAGTGTGTATTTCATGTTTCTCTAATAATTTCTACTCTCTCTCTCTCTCCCCTCAGTTCAGTTAAGGGCAGGTAAGAATATAAAGCTAGAATTTTGTTTTCAGTGTGTTGCTTTTGACCAAGACTTATTTAAGGCAAGATATCCACTTGCAAGTGTTCCACAGCTTCGTAGTAGATAGCATTCTAGGTAAGGCTCTGAATTTATTTAAAGAAAATATTACTCAATTAGATAATAGTACAAGTGACTTATTTGGCAAAAATCATGGAAGAGGTATACAATGTCTAGTTTTGAAAATCCTTCTCTGAAGCAATTTATAAAGCCCTGGAAGAAAGAAGGTATTGAGCAATACCTTCAAACAATAGAAGGTATTGCTATGATAGAGAAATTCAGATATGTATCTCAAAATTATTTTAAATGTACTGCACTTCAGGTATCAAATTTAAAGAACACCAACTCCTCAGCATAACTAGGATAAATACCACTGTGGTACAAAAACTAGGACTACAATAAGGTTGCAGTCCTTACCTAATAGTTCCTATAATACAGTTGAGGAGATACATAAATAATCAGTATACAAATTAGGAAACAAAAAAATGTGTAAAAGAAAAAACATGATATGGGAATTTATGGTTCTACAAAATACTAATTCCTGTTATCATTAAATTTATTAATTATAATTAATAATTCATTATATTATTTCTATAATTATGAACTACAACATACAAATTATATACCTATATAAATGTTAAAAGTTAATTATACATAATTATAATGAAAAATTTTGTCATGCTTGCTCATAACAATAGTAAATATCCTTGCTAATTCTAATATATAAACATAGAAATGAGAACATAGAGCTGCAACCCTGTTTTGGATGTGTATACAATAGAGAAGTAGTCACACTGGCAAAAGTGAGGAGTACCCTTTCTTATAGTTGCAAGAAAAGCCTTAAGGGGTTGGCAAATATGACCTGCTAAATTGCCAACCATTTAAAAATAATCAAATTCATAACCCCAGTAAAACTAACATATCTTTAATATGGCACAAAGTTAGTGCTTTACTAAGGTATGGTGCTGCCTGAGAAACTGTCATCGCTTTGTATACTTTAGGGTAAACTTTTAACAATGGAGCGACTGGTTTTCCTCTTAAATTCTTTATGCTGACATCTGTTTATAGAGAGTATTAGAGTAAATTCACGTGGTTCAAAGACTTGGGTCTCATGTGGGGCCATTTGTCAGTCTTTCACTACTTTCCAGAGCCAACGTTTAAAGGCATAAATTTCCAAGGACATCTGGTGCTTTCTTAAGAAGGGAAGGATGTCTGTGTGGTCACGAGAGCATGGCTCTTAAAAGCACGAGCCCTAGATTCAGATTCTGACTCTCATTTACTGGAGCAAACTGCTTGATTTCTCTAAGCCTCATTTTTTTTCAACTGTAAACTGTAGGAAAGAATAATGCTTATCTCAGGTTATTTTGACGATTAATTAAAATAAAGCGAGAGAATTGTCAGTGAATTGTCTGGGATGTAATAAGCCCTCAGCGTGACCTGCTGTTGGCCTGTGTTATGAACCACAATGTTCTCTTTTCGGGGCTTTTCCAGAGACCTCAGGTAACATGATCCCTGTAACCTTACAGCACTCTTTAGGGTTGGGACCCACTCCAGTGCTTCAGGCCAGTTGCACATGTGTGAAATTTGGGCTCTTTCCTGAGCTTCTTCAAGCTTTTTTTTTTTTTTTTCCTTAGCCGAGGGAAGTGCAAAGTCCATGACCCATAACTCAAATCCATCTCCTTTTCTTAGCACAACCAAAGAGAAAGTCTACACTCAAACTTAAACAGGGACTGTTTGATTTCTGCAAACTGAATGCCTCTTCACCGTATCCCTTGCAGATAAGGGTGGAACATCCATCTCATTTGCCATTCTTTAGCTGGATTTTCTTGCTAAGGGTAACATTTAGTACAGGACCTATCTTAATCTTTTTATAGCCACTGACTGTAGTTCCCTGGCAACTGTTACATTTTGCCTCTGACAAACATTATGTCAGATATTTTCCCAAACAAAACATAAAGAAAATGTTTGAACTTGGCCTGTGTTATTTTTACACACCTTCTCTTTATAGCCAAGTGTTAGGATAAAGAGGATATATAAGTTCAGTGAGATAAAAAGAATGCAAGACCTTTAGACTCACTCATTCACCTGTGTATAAAACAAAATGTTTTAATTCTTTGGAACCTCTATTCAGAGGAAGAAACATGCGTAAAATTCATATTTTCTCATGGATATAATGATCCAGTGCAAAGTAGCCCCCGACTGCTCTAACTTGCTGCTCTTCTCTATGGCCCTGCTAGGCTAGCCAAGGCTGATGGATCCAACAGTGAATTAGATTTCTGA